ATATTTAATAGCTGTATTTTCTTACAGACTTTTCTACTGACTATAATAATAATAGAAAATTTTTGATCAAATGAAATCCATGAGAAGCTAACTCATTCTTTCCATCTCCTGTCCCATTCGAATGGACTCTCTTCCCTGAACATTCAGTTCCAGAAGCTGGGGAAACTAAATATCTATCTAGCCATGACATCCAATGCCGAGTCATAATTACAAAGGACAAAAAGACAGCAGGTTTGCTGGTGTTCTTTAATCAAGGTTTGACACCATCAGTAATTATTGGACTTGAAGTGATTTAGAAAAGATTAGTCTTTTCATTACTTTAGCAGACATGTTCAGAAAAAGGGCCAATTAACTTTTGCTAGTGGCTGAGATTCACAGACAACAGGGCTTATGTACAGCAGTAATGTATAGGTAAGTACTTGTTAATAGCATACAGAAAATTCTGTTTTCACAAATTTCAGAGAAACAGAGGTATCAATCCACTCATTTTTCTAAAGTCTGGAAAGTTTGAGTCTTGCTTGGGCCAAATACTTACTTTTGATCCCTTCTGTTGTTAGGAGATACCTTATCCACTGAGCTCTGGAAATTAAAGGCTATTAAGTATAACGCTGACAATCCTAATTTAAGACATCCCATTAATAATAACAAATGCTCAAAGGCCAGCTAGTGGCAGCATCTTGCTAGCCTTGGCTGATTTCAAGAAGCTAAGCAGGATTACTATTGATTAGTACTTGGATGGTAAACCATTAGGAACATGAAGGCAGTAGGCTTGATCAGGAAGTTGAGGAAATGTCTTGGAAGAAGGCTGTAGCAAACCATTTCCACACTGTTCCAAGAAACCTACATGTTTATGTCTGTAGCATCAATAGGTGTCTATTGCTACTCTCAGGAGAATTTACTTCTAGCTAGGTTCGGTAAATTTATTTATTTATTTATTTTCAAATTTGTATGCCGCCCATCCCCCCCAATACTGATGCAGAATCTATCCTCCATAAAACTTATGAAGAAGCAGTAAATCCCATTAGTAATAGCATTTGATGCCTCTTCAGGAAACAGCTACTCATTAAAATCATAACTCATAGGCTCTCTTAGTATTTTTTATATTGGTTTAATTCACGGCCTAATTATCAGAGCAGTGTTAGGTACTGCTACTTATTTATCAGCAAAATTATTTCCCTTACCTGGAGAAAGTGATTTCCACACAATGCCTTTGTGAGGATTGGGTGAAGTTTTAGGAACAGAAGTATGAGGTAATAAAAATACTTTGCAAACAGCATCCAGTCAGTGAACCAAAGGTTCTTGACTCTACAGACCTGTCCATTCCTTTTCCTTAACACCCACTGGTTTGAAGTAGTGTATCACATTCACCTCCTAGATTAGATTCATCTATTTCATATTCTTGCTACTACAGTGAGCAGCCAGAAGCAGAGTATTTAGTCAATGCCTTCCTCTGCAGTTATTCCTCAGTGGTCAGTATTCAATGGCAGATAGCCTATTAGCAGATAGTAAACTGATTACCAGTTTTGAATGCTGGAGTGAACAAGAAGCATTAGAATACTTTTGGAAAAACAAATAATCCCTTCTCCACCCGCTTCACTTCATTTCAGGGCAGGAATCCTAATGCTCTAGGCCACATGTGGTCCATGAGCACCTTTTTCTGCCTCCACAGTGAGATTCCCCTCTGACTAACTTTAACTCTTGTTAGCGACCCAGAATCACTTGGTGAGTGGGCAGCCGTATACATTGGATAAATAAATGAATAATTTTGCAAAAACTGGTAAATTTCCCACTATTTTGAGGTGGGAAATAAATAAAAACTGCAGCATAATCCACTAAAACAGGTTTTACATTTTTAGAAACAACAGCAACAAGCTGGAATTCTTGCTAAACCCAGGAAAAAACAATATTTCAGCCTGCTTTATGACAACAACCCTGTGCGCTTTGCATCAGAATACTGTCCGCAATATCCCTTACTTTCCCCAAAGTACATAGATTGGTCATTGCTGTCCTAGAATTTGCTAATCTGGCTTGCAAACAGGAAACTCATGTGAATTGTTCTCCAGTATAAAAGTGTAGTTTGAAGAGGAACAGAAGTTTTCTGTTGACAATGATATAATGAAACACAGGGAAATATACTTGCTTCAAGAAAGGCTAATATATCCCACAGTTTGCTTTTCAGTGCCAGTTATGTCTCCCTTTTCAGTTTGATTTTGCAAATCTGCACAGATTTGCTTTCCATTCATTGTTTCATTTGAGACATTAAATCATTTTCATTAATGGAAATATAGTTCTTGAGCAGAATAATTAGACCCTCCTCAGAAAGATAAAAGCTTAGCGAATTGAATGGAAGATTCATCTTCAGAGGCAGCCAATTGCCTAATCAGACTGCCTCCCACCTGACAGTTGGTAATTAGGAAATGGTTGTGTGTTCATGTTAAAACCTTAACATGCAGGTGTCATCATCGTGTTGGGACGTAGTGGGGGAAAGAACAAGTCTGTGGCAAAAGGCTGAGGTGAGCACTTTTGTTCCACTGTGGCTAATTAATTGGTTTGGGTTTAGGTTCGGAGGGGATTGTCGAGGTTTCCCTCTTTCTTTTTTTTAAATAACCTGAGAAGTTTCTGACATTAGAGTCACCATGACTGATTTGGGCTGCAAGAAACACAGCGATTGCACCATCTCCAGGCTGCTCAATGTGGTGGAAAATGAACTCCTGGCTGGCAGAGACAAAGGGGACCCTACTGAGAAACAGCTCCAGGTTATCTTGGAAGATTCTGCCCTGTGGCAGAGGTTCAGAGAAGTTACAAATGAGATGATTGTCACGAAGAACGGCAGGTGAGTGTTACCTTCTCCTTTGCAATGGTGATGGTGCTCACTATACAGAACAGAAACTAGCCGTGATTCTAGATTGATCTGCAGTTCATTGGAGATGTTCTCCTTGACAAGACCTGTAGAAATAAATAAAAGCTGCATGACAGCAGAGTTATAGGGTCACCATGATTCCACTCCTTTCAGTGGACTTGGATATCTTGCTGTTGGACTGCATCCTGAATACTTTTTGTATATTTGTGTGTGTAAATACTGAGCCCTTTTAGATATTAAGAGGTTGTTGTGAGCTGCTACTGCTGACAGCTTAGAAGCAAGTGAAATATCTTCAACTCTATGTGCATCCAAAGGATGCTGATTCAGTATATGTATCCATGCAGGCATCTCAATAAAAGAAGTAAGACTTCATATTTTTTCTGAGCCAAATGTGCAGTTTTTTCTGAAAAAAGTCTCTTATGAGAGGGCCCCATCAGACATGATACATTTCCTGTACATATCTGTACATACAGATTTGTGTTGTGTATGGTAAATACATATTTGCACTTGTTCTTATTTAATGTATATCTTGCTTAACAATCTCAGTGTGTAACAGTACTCACAAGAAAACTTAAAGCATTATTAACTTGAAATTCAAAACCAGCATAAATATATAAATGACATAATATTAACCAATTAATATGATTTTACCGAACATACTCAACACACATGCATATCATGAAAAGCCCTGATTAGTTAATAATGAGTTCTCACAAGTTACACATAATGAAATAGTTGTGCATGGTTTTGTCCAAGCATACTTAAGAGCATTATATTGTGTCCTGTTGGGCTGCTTGCAGACATTTCTGCTGGAAAAACTTTCATCCTTGATTGGCTTCTCTTCTAACCCTATCTTCCGTATTACTTGTTCCATCACTTTTCTTTCCACAGAAAAGCTATTTGGGGTGAAAAGGTGGAACTACTTCACAATCCATTTTGTGCATTTTTCCACTAGTGACTTAAAGCATTTTCTCAACAGAGCCAGTCATCACTGAAATAATAGAATGCCTGTGCTCATTACTCTTATGTTGGCATCAGAATGAATGGATGAGACTAGAAGATGCCATAAGCCACTGGTGAGGAAAAGCTAGAGGGTGCTAGGAGCTACCTATCTGAAAGCATCCATGAGCTATGCTCTTCCAGTAGTTACAATAAGACAGAACACATTAGCTACAGATCTCAGTTCCAGTGGTTAGTATCATGTGTAGGCCAAATATTAATTATGTGATACTATTCAATGTGTATCGTCATGGAGAAAATCTATCTATGTGGTCAGCTGGAGTTGAAAATGACTTGATGGCACATAATCAATCAACCAATTCAATGTGTATATTTTTATTATGTAACCAGTAAGCCCAGGGCACCCTATATAGCTTCAGGAATAACAGAATGGGGGGGGGGGCTTGATTCTTTTCTGGCTAAGGATATAAGAAAAACTCTCCCATGGTGTGCAATCATAAGCAGAGCATGAAAGTGAAAATTGTCTTCTGTCCCTCTGTTTCTCAGGGATCATCTTTCTTCAACAGACATAAATACTGAATCACCAAATTCAGTGCTGTCTGTAGTTTGATTCCTCAGTTTACTGATCCCCAAGCCTGATTCTTAAATCTTTTCTGTTGAGGATCACATTTCCTCAGAGGATCTTCTGTGATCTATATGTTGGGAGATGGAGAAGGGCTATGCACAAATGGGGGCTCATCTAGAAAACCCTGTGACAGTATACTGCATGATAGATCATATAGAAAAGGACTATATTTTTGTTTTGTCACATTTTAAGGGGAAAATTGGGTAGAATGTGTTATATACAGTTTCTGAAAGGTTGCTAAAAAGAACATAACACTTATTGCAAAGGAAGCTTAAGGAATAATGTGTGTCTGCCTGAGAATTTCTATAAATTGCTAAATTACAACTCGTTGTATTATGATTATGGAAAATGCTTGCTGGGTTTGCTGGGAGTTGCATTTCAGCAGAATCAGATGTTTATCTTCCAAAGTAAATGATAAAACTTTAATACAAATTTTAAAGTGAAAATTCATTCAGATTTTTCCCCCAGCCAATAAATCTCTTCCTCTGAGAACAGTTCAGTTGATTAAAGAGTTATGAAATATTATGCCTGGGCAAGGATTGAGGATATAATTGGTAAAAAGAAGTCGGGGGCTCAAGCAGTACAAAAGTCATGTTCTTTCACTTCAAAGCCCTGCTGTTCTTATAGCCTGCAGATATGAAAGTTGGTAGCTTTGATTTGGCTTATGCTGTTGCTCAACATTTTCTTTCTGTAAGTTTGCTTCTTTTCTGATTCACCACTTTTGCTTTCTGTTGATTTGGCATGTTGACAAAAAAGAATGTAAAGATCACCTTATGAACACTAAGTTAATCCATGCATAGCAGCAAACGTCATCACAATGTCTTTCCAAGAATTATAAAGAATGCTGTTGGAAAAGGTAGCATTTTTTTTTATCAAGAGAAAATACAGTAATGGAGCTTGAATTCCAGCCAGTAGAATGTATGTAGAATGCATCTGGACTCAATGAAACTGTCCCGATAATGTTACATGTTATTATTAAAAAGTAATAGCAACCCGACCCAACTCAACTGAATCAAACCAAGAAAGATAGTTTTGATGTGTATGTTTATCTAGAGTAGCCTTCCCCAACTTGGAGTTCTTTAGAAGTGCTAGACTACAATTTCAACCATCTCTGACTAATATAATGGAAGATTTAATCTCATTATAACAAGATAGTATGAGGCTAAGGAAAATGGCCTAAAGGATCTCAAATCTTCTGGGGCTGAATACTTGTTATTTATTTTTTAGATGTATATCACATTTTTCCTCTATAAGTAAAAGGCAACATATATAGCTCTCTTCAAATTTTTTCCTCTGAGCCGCAATCCTGTGGGATAGATTGAGCTAGAGAGAATAGCTGGACAAAAGATAACCAGTGAGTTTTTATAGTTCATGATGGACTTGAACCTGGATCTTCCTGGTCCTCATCCCAAACCTGCTCCCAATTATGATTTAAGTGTTCTAGTTGGAGTAAAGAGGAAAATACAAGTCCTTTAAGTAAATGTATACAAAAAAAAGTTTAAACACAACCTATTCAGAAATATTCCTAGGTTTTTCCCAAACCCTAAATAGTGAATAATGGAGCACCAAGCAATGTGACTCAATCTATTTGAAGATTACTGGTATAGGAATAATCAATGGACCAATGAAAGGGAAATGGCATTGGCCATATTTGTTCTGCCTGTTTCTTCTCTATGTTAACCAGCTTCAAGATGTAGAGTTTTCTCTCATAAGGTAGAGCCAGTAGGTATGACCTTATCATTTTCTCCTTTTCTCATTGACTACTCAAATATGTCATCTACACACCAAGTTGGCCAGGACTCTCAACCCTGGGCAGCTGATGATCATTCATATGCAATAATAATAATAATAATAATAATAATAATAATAATAATAAAAAATGAATCATGTCAATGAATCATGCTCTTCATCTACACAGCAATGTTGATAGATAAAAAATGAATCATGTCAATGAATCATGCTCTTCATCTACACAGCAATGTTGATAGATAAAAAATGAATCATGTCAATGAATCATGCTCTTCATCTACACAGCAATGTTGATAGACTCTACTTACCAAGGAGCATAGGTGGGCGTTGAATGTTGCAAGTACACCAGACGGTTGAAGAAGAAAAAAGGTCATGAGAAGACTATCTGAAGGACAGTGAAGAAGATGCACTGAAGTTAATATACCGTGAAGGGTTACTGAATACTGAGGAGACCAAACTGGCCTAAAAGAAAGACCAAATGAAAAATAGAAAAGAGACAAGACCTGGCAATGGCTAAGAGCAGGAAAGTTGAAGAAA